ACGAGAGAAATTGTAGCAAAAAGTTATTAATTTTTGGAAGTCAAGTTTTATGGAATTCACTCTGTAATCCTAGGGCCTACAGCAATAATTCTAACCATGTTCTATGGGTACGGTAAAAATTTAAAAAATAACAAAACAATATTTGAAAACTTCAAAACCCCATTTAACACTCTGTTACCATGACCCGATCTTGCTGGTTCACAAACTCCATTCTAGTTTATCCACCTCTTCACATCCATGCAAAATTTCATAATTGGAATGGATGGGTCGAATAAGCTAGCTTCATTATTTTTTTCTCAGTTTTTACAGTTGCACTCGCAAAAAAATTTTAATTTATTTACTAATATTTTAACTAACCTTTTTAACATAGAGCCAGCACGGGCTCTATCAAAACATGGATTCACCAGATAAAATTTTTTAATTAACAAGGCTTAAACTTGGTCATCCAGTATTTTCTTAGGTTTCCAGTTATTTTTGGAATTACTTACCGGTAACTCAATATATTATTCTTGGTTTGTTGGCTACTCATCACTAAAATAAATTAATCACAATTTACTAAAAAATGTGGTTGTATATTTCGAGTTTTCATCAAAACCCATCTTCAGCCTCTGGTAACAACATATCAAGTCTTCATATCGAGACATTAAGTATTCTGTCGCACGAAAAAAACATACCGGAATGAATTAACTCATATAGGATTCTTCTTAATTAGGCCTTAGTTAGTTGGTAGTTGTAGGTAGGCCTACCATAATATTTTAAAGGCATAGGATAACTACATAGCCTATTAATGCAATTTTATGCAGGACTGGTCCATGTTATATGTATTTTAAAACTTAGATACCTAACTTAGCCTAGCCTATTTGTTTGTGTTTCTCCACCTTTTTACCTCCTTAGGACACTGGTTCTAGCCTAGAATTATTGTTTTACACATTACTTCAGAGGTTCCTAAACTTAAAGGGTTGCTGCATTATCACATAGATAAAATCCATTGATGATTGGCGGGATTCAAACTTAAAAACCGACATAAAAACTTAGATAACAAGAAATTAAAAATAAATACCTCTGCCTTAAAAAATAAGGTTGCCAAAGACACAGAAAAATAGTACACATAAAATATCGAAGGATCATACAGCTATAAGACTGATTAATTTTGATGTTTGCCGTATAGATGATTTCTCATTATGGTCAATGAACCTCTTAATGTTTCATGAATGATAATTTTCAAAAAGGATCTGTCCAAATCATATTGTTTCCAAAAGTTCACAAAAAATTTTGATAATGTTCCTCTAGAACCAATAAACAATCCAATCACCTCAATTTTTGAAATTTTAAAATTTTGCTTGAAATATTCAAAGGTAGAATCATAAATTTTTTTCTTTTCTTCGTTTACTTCGTTAGCTTGATTTATGTTTGTTTCAAATCGAATTGTAGGATCGAGAATTATGCCTTTGTTAGTTTTTCTTTCAATCAATAAAATATCAACTCTTCTGGTGCTTCCGTTAGAAGAAAGACAGTGTACAGCAGAACGTCAAATAACATGGCCCTTAGTAATTGCGAACCTAAAGTAATTCGGCTTGATCCCATCCCCAATCAAAATCATACCTTAAAAGAAATAGCCCAGTACGGTATAGTGAGTATCGGTAACTTATAAGTTTATGCTTGAAAATGAAATTAGGCTACACAATAGACCTACAGGTAACATTACATAGAACTACTGTACTCTGCACTACTAAATAATTAACAGACTAACTGTGGAAATAGACTACACGGAATACGGAAATCGTATTTAACACACTCCACACCAACTCATAACAAACAAAGGTCATTGCTCCTTGACAGAAATTAAGTTATTTGTTAACTTCATAAAGAGTGGTTTACCTCCCTCAGGTAGTCAATCTTCCTCGTATCAATGTCAAGTTACAAACAAGCCGCTTAGCAGGGATAACCTATGGTAATTTCTTATCCCCATTCAGTTAGTGGAAAGCAGCATTAAAACCTAACCTTAAGTTTTTCGTCTTTTGTAAAATATGCACTGTAGGCCTAGATGAATTTTGTAGGCTACTTGCATTTTTTTTAGAGCTATTTTGTCAGCCATTTTTTTTAACATGCTGACAAAGGCTACTGTCAAGGCTAAAGTGGCATTAAATCAAGTAACATTAAAAACCAAGTTGAACATGTATTCTTGTATCAGCATTGATAGGGTCTATGCATACTAGTTCTTCTAACTTCTCGTTTGGCAGTACCCCCCGATTCAATCGCGAGTTAATTTAGGTTTGAATTTGGTTAACTGTTAATTTACCTTAACTTATTTGTATACTCACACAAATAACAAACTTTTTGTAATGAAACCATAAGAATTTACATTTTGGCTTAGGCTTGTCAAAGCATGCTTCGTTTTATTCGGCTTTTTTTTTTGCTGTTTTCGTCCAACTTTGATGTGGCATATTTTCTAAACTAGATGAGTCTCAATGATCAAACTTAACATACTTATAGTAGGTAGGCCTACCGGTAACTTGTGCTTATGACAGAAATTTGATATTTTTTGTTTCAGTCCTTTTTGTTATATTATATTTTGTTATATGTTATATTTCAAGATCTTGAAAATGGAAAAATTGGACAATCCACCATATTTATAGACCTATGAGACAAAAAAGGACAACACTCTTAACTTTTGATTAAAAGTTGTGATTTAGACTGTCTCGTACGACAGCTTTACATTAAAATAATTATCAAAGGTGAGAATTTATTTTTTCCTTTAAAAATATTGCATGAATAACAACATCTTCATCGCTGAAAAAATCTTTTTACGTTTTTGCAGTGACATAAGGTACCTACTTAAGCCTATTACTTACTGTAGCCTATAAATATTTATCCCATTTAATTATGTATCAATTTGAAGCCCATTTTATGCTAAATATTTTGGTTAACTTATTAATTTGTCCTGATATCTTAAAAAATAAAATAACTTAGGCCTAGTTATTTAACATTGAGTAAACCGCGATTTTTGTAAAAAAAAGTGGGTTTCGCACAAACAAAGATGGCCGCCTAAATTCTGAGCGAAAATAAAGTTGTCAATACTTGCATGACATTTCTATTGATATAGGCTAGGCTAGTTAAAATTTTATAAAAGTTTCAGCAAAATTAAAATTGTTGAACGACCATTCAAAGATTCAAAGATTTTATTAGGCCATTAAGTTTACCTAAGTTTGTAACTTACCCTACAATAGGCTGTATGTCAAAGTACAACAAAAAGCAATAAAACTAAATATAAAAAGGAAAACAAACAAAAAAAAACTGCAAGTCCAAACAGCAAACCATGCAAAGGACTAGTGATGTGACGAGTCGAGTACTTGACTCGTTGAGTATCGAGTCCAATGAAGTATCGAGTCGACTCGATACCAAATCGGCAATACTCGAGTACTATTACTCGTGAACTAAAGCTTACTAGATCCGCCGCTACGAGTCCATAGCGCTTGGGTTGGGTGCATGTCTACTCGAGTCGAGACTCGGATGTTGTTCCAGATTTTGCCACTACGAGTCGACAGCGCTTGTGTGCTTAGCTTGACACTGACAGTTCGTATTAATACACTGCTGAATGTTCAAGATATAGTTTCAAAACTATCCGCTACGAGTACATAGCGCTCGAGTAATTTGCTTACTCGAGTCAAGACACTGTTTGTTATTAATCTAAGTTTTATAATAACGAATTAAATCCATAATTAATTATCAACTCAATGTGAGATAAATAACCTATCTCGCTCTCATCTTAAATCTACACAGAGTATAAAACGAGTCCGAGCCAAGTCTGTCCGACTCGAGTAAAGGGACTCGAGTCTGAGTCAAACAAGTTCCATTTCCAGTATTCGCACGGCAGCTACGAGTCAACAGAGCTTCGGTGCTATATAGGTAAGAATCGAGTCCAGTACTCGAGTACCGACTCGAGTAGTTGTGGTATCGAGTCGAATTGACTCGAGTAGGGAAAGTACTCGACTCGTCACATCACTACAAAGGACCATGCCTGTAACTTATGGCTTGAAATTATTGAACCCTTATTATTTTGACCACAACATTGTCTCTTTAAGTTTACTTCTAGGCTGTCTCCAACTTAGTTCACTATTTTAAATGGACCTTAACAAATGCAAGAATTTTACAGCCTAAGGCCTAGGCCTAAAACTTAAGGCTAGAATTAGGTTAGCGTGATGATTTAGACCTGTAACCTATAGCCTATGTTGTGAAAAAACATAGTAGAGACTAAGTTAAGTTAGGCCTTTAACTCTAACTTATCTCTAAATAAATGTGAAGCATAAATCAAATTGGCTAACTTAAGTTAAGTTAGGCCTAAGTTTATTAGGTTAATCCCCAAAAATGCTTAAGTACCCTATTGCTATTTTATAGCCTAGACCTAGTCTAACTCTTGAATGATTATAATATAAGTTAGACCTCCATAACTTATAAGTTAAAGCAGAATGGGAAGAACTTGATGGCTGATAGAAAAAAGACCCTAGCCTAGAGTATAGGCCTGTGACAAGTGAGCAAAGCAAGCATCAAATAAAACTTAACTCTCAGTAGGACAAATATAACAACACTTGAGGAAATTCAGTTAAACATAAAGTAAAAATAAAAAATACAGTCAAGCCATAAGAAATAGTAAGGGTAATATGAAGCATTTATCTATTTAACAAGTTACAGATTCAGTCTCCAACAAAACTAGGCCTAGGTAACTTACCAAGTTTAGGTAGGCCTAGGCCTACAATTAATATTTATTTACTCATCCATTTATAACCAAAATAACAAGTCTAACCACATTAATACTCTTAAATAAAATAAACTAAAAAAATTAATTAGCTACAGTTACGTATATTGCCTACGGGGACAAAAATAACGACGCATCACATCCTTCCTGTGAGGTCAATTTTCCTCACAAGAGGTGAAATTATAATACCACCTATCTTATTCGTAACAACTTCAACTCCATTTAGATAAAGTAAAATTAAACTTACAATTTGAAGGAATGGAAATAGCTCTTAGATTCCGGTGAGGAAATTCGCCAAGGTGCTACATATTCACCTTTCCCTCAACGATGCCGACATTGAATGTCTAGGGTTGGAGTCTATTGTTTGAGTTCGACTTCGCAAGCCACCGTCACCGCATAATTTTAAAGGTTTACTGTTAACTTACGGCACGAGTTTCACCGCAAATTAACACTCGTATTTAGTGACTCACGGAACCAGATAACCATAACTTGTTAAACAGAATCGATAAACAAGCTTGATCGCTTTAGTAACCGCTATTATGCCACACGACAACTTTCGAACCTAAGCTTGTTGCAGCCATGCCATCTGCAGCAGCTGCTGCTAGGGCTAGGGCCAGTAGCATCAAATCGAAATGGCGCGAAAACGGAATCTTTGTATTTCCCGCAAAATCAAACATACGGTAGGGCCCCGTAACAAGCAGTCTATCAGCTTTATGGCTAAAATAAGGCCCTCGTACACCATTAACTTCAAATGAAGTAGTAATTTCTTTTTTTGTTATGTTTTCAATGCATATTGTGTATTACTTGTCCTAAATATTACCTTCAATTCTCAAAAAATGTCGGTAAACATCAAACGTCTTGCTCCGTTTCGTTGCTAAAATAACAGTGGTTCAGGTAGGCGGCCATTGCTTTTCACTCATTCTAGTACTACTAGACACTGGAACAGCGGAGTAGCATACGATGGCGGGAATAGTTTAAAATTTAAATTTAATTAACTATTCTTGTAAATGAAGTTAAAACATTACAAGATTAATATGTTTTTGTTATTTGATAAAATGTATCATGTACTGCATGTACATTTCTAAGATAACAGTAATAGAAAATAGATCATCTGCTTATCTTGTAGCTTCTGCCTAAACCGCATTTTAAAATAACCATAACTAGAAATCATATAATGCAAATAAATAACTTACTAAGATCTGATTTGATTTACTTAATAGGGGTTTGATAAGTCATTATTAGAGAAATTAATTAAAATGCAATAATTTTCTCGACAAGTGAACATAAGTGATTGATAGGACATTGAAGCAGTGTGCTGCTGAGCGCTGCCAACGCAGACGGTCGCATCAGCGACGCGGTGCTAGTGACCAGGAGGACCCTGTCATATGGATTGCCAGCATCAGCAGGACGTATTTGCCGCACGACTACTGGCAGAACAACTAGAAGACCTTTTTGGAGTGATCATCGTTTGACACATCGTGTACACTACATGACAGGCACCCGGCGCTGGTGGGTCGGCATCAACATTCAACGCGACACATTTGCCGTCACGTAGGCTATGACATGGTCTTTTTCGGGCGGTCTCGATGGCATCTGCGCGACGACAATAGCGCTCTTGTATGATATGAGCCTAAGAAAAAATTAAACAAAAAAGTTTCAGCAAACCTGCGCATTTATAAATGTTTATTTTACTTTATCAACCAAATGTGAAAAAATTATATGGGCTTAACAGATCCAGGCATGTTGTCAAAATATCATAACTCGTGACAAAAATGCTTCACGTCTCTAGTCCAGTGATATATCATAAATAATAAGTTCATCAAACCAAAACAAATATAGTTGTTAAACTTAATTTGAGTGGGTGCAACATTTAAAAAGCCTTGCAGTGCTTGATCATTAAAATTTCAATGAATGGCCCTGGCTAAAGAAACATCTGATCTTAGTGAGTAGCAAAGCTACCAGTGGCGGTTCCAAGGGGGGGGCCTACAGAGGCTAAAGTCACTCCCCTTGGACTGTGGGAAAATAAATTAAAACATACATTTTGTCTTAAACTCAATGCTTAAGAAAGCCACGAAATGGCTTTAAAAATACCAAGCTTTCCAGGGGAGGATTTCTGAACCCCCTCTTTTCTTTCGAGAGTGTGGTCTGGGACACCCTATGGTAGCCCCCCCCCTGACAAGGACCTAGAACCTCCACTGAAAACTACACAAGTCAGCTCACTTGCATTCTTATAATATGATTAAAATACACACCTATAGGTGTGTGTCAATGTCTTAAAGTAACAATTGGTCTGGGGTAGCAGAGTTGCTTAGTGCTCGCTACAAATCTGAAGGTCGCTGGTTCGATTCCAAGCAGGATCCTTACTAGACCCAGATGTCGTTTGTCATTGGACGATCAATTAATGATGCTAGGTCGACGTTAGCATCAATAGTCAAACACGTTGGATGGTAGCAAGACCAGGGTTTGGACCGTTTCCTTAGATTATCAGCTGACTTATCTGAGACATTTGGTGATACACAATAAAAGGTCATGAAACATAACACTGGTTTTTAAGTCCCTTTTCAGAGAGCATTCCTATATTAAGGCAAAATATCAGTGTTATGTTTGATAATCTTTATTGTGTATCCATCAGCACTTGGACTCTCTTTTTGGTTACACACACTTTGCTATACTTTAAAAGAGGTACCTTTTAATACAGAAGGTGTTGGTTATATTAACTTATTTCTCACTGATTGATCATTTTCATGTACCTAGTTAACTGGTTTTGAAGACCCTGATGACGCTTCATAAATGGACGTCAAGCGTTTTCAATCCGTCCATTCAACATTGAAAATCGTCTAAATAAAACATTGCAACAGTAGTTTTTTAGCTATACAGTTTTTATTTGAATTCAGTTCAATCATTTTAAATGACCGCCATTTTTATACCAACCATGATATACAAAAATATTTTTTCTCAAAATAGGTCTATGGGTTATTAATCTGCACCAAATTTCAATTCCATACAACAAACGGTTATCAAATAAAATATAATTTGTGAAGAAAAACATTGGCAAGTGTACCAGCAGTCACTTTTAAGCTTAGGAAATTTAAAACGTAATATTTTAGTTTGTCTTTGGTCTACGAATGATTCCCTAAAAGGTTGGTAGAGAGTTCAGAGACTCTCTAGGCCTATATAAAAATAACTTGTATGCAGTTCAACACATACAAGTGTGTACATGTACTGTTCAGCTCATACCAGTTCGTTGTGCTGGTTCAACAGAACTCCAATAATCCAAAACTACACAGTTTATTTTAGCGAATTTCCCATATAGGGAATAAGCTATTTTAAAACGTTTTTATTAGCTCGCTTTCTTGTCCGGTACAAATTTTGCAATCAATTTTATACTAACTTCCCGATCAGCTAGAGACTTGAAGCTTGAAACATAGCTCACAAATGGAAGACAATGCAATATTATATCATTTAATTTTCATATTTCCCTTGGGCTACGCCCCATGGGCTTGTTTTTATTAGCTCGCTTTTTCTTGCAAATTTTTATACTTCCCAATGAGCTAGAGACTTGAAACTTAAAACATAGCTCACAAATGGATGACAATGCAATATTAAATCATTTAATTTTCATATTTCCCTTGGGCTACGCCCCATGGGCTTGTTTTTATTAGCTCACTTTCCTACAAATTTTGATATAAATTTTAAACGAAGTTCCCGATGAGCTAGAGACATGAAATTTGAAACATATCTCACAAATGGATGACAATAATTTAATTTATTTATTTAATTTATATAATTTAATTTTTACATTTCCTTTGGGTTACCTCCCATGGGCTTCCAAATTTTCCATGTTTACATTTTGAAAGAATGTAAATACATCAATTGATTTAAGTCAGCTATAAATACTTAAATTTGACAGTTAGAAGAATTTAATTTATTTATTTAATTTATATCATTTAATTTTCACATTTCCCTTGGGTTACGTCCCATGGGTTTCCAAATTTTCCATGTTTACATTTTGAAAGAATGTAAATACATCAATTGATTTAGGTCAGCTGTAAATACTTAAATTTGACAGTTAGAAGAGCAGAGGTTAAGAGGTACAGGTTCTGCTCCCGAGATATTCTAAAAATATAAAACAAGCATTTTAAAGTAAAGATAAAAAATTTGATTACAGATAATAAGGTTTTGGTTTTGTATTAACAGGCCATATAAAATATAACATATTTACACAATATAAACTTAAAGTCTAAAAACTAGAAAATAATTTACAAATAAAAATATTTTTTTTAAATGCCACATTTTTTTACGCGCTAAAAAGAATAAAATAATTAATTGATAAATATTTTGAGAGAATAACTACTTGTGAGATTTAAAACAAAAACGTGGGGCGCATGCAATAGATCATAATAGTTCAATAGGTGAAGTAATTTGTAAATTAGCATGCGCCCCACGTTTTTGTTTTAAATCTCACAAGTATTTTTTCTCTCAACATATTTATCAGTTATTTTATACTTTTTAGTGCGTTTAAAAATGTGGCATTTTTAAAAAAGTATTTTTATTTGTAAATTATTAAAGATTGAATGGTGTGTTTAAATTTTTACATCAGGAAAACTATCAAACCGTTTTGTAACCCTGTTTTAGCAATATCCTTATGACACTTCATGGATTTAAAAATGATTATAATTTATACCAATGATTAATTTAACTAGCTACCATGATTATACTAATTGATTTTAAAAAGTAGCAAAAACAAAAATGGAGAGGTTACTCTATTGGTAAAGTGGAAGGGATTGAGTTTTTTCCTCTGTTAGTATGCTATTTAGTCATCAGCTGTTCTCTGCAATCACTGTATCAGCTGTTTTGCCACATAGTTGAGAAGAATATTTAGACTTATCAACAGTTCAAGTTCAGCTTGATTGTGCTACTGTTACTGTTCACTGCATGTTAGAAAATTCACTATCATTTAACTGTAGGATTCCCTTGAAAATGGTAACTATTTTTGTATGAAACATATTTTCTGTAAGTCAAAATAAAATAATGTACTGTAATTTTAAAATGTGATGGCATTCTGTAAATAAATTAATAAAAAAAATTTAACTCACTCAAACACAAAATGCTAAACTCTAAAAGATCTGTTTTAAATGGTGACATAGTTTTCATTGCTTTGCAATTATATTAGGGTAATTAAGATTGTTTACAAATCAAGAATATTACTGTTCAATTTGATCACATGGCAATTGTATTACATGGCATAACTGTATTTTGTGTGATGTTATGCTTTCAGATATTTTAACAACTTAAGCAATGCCAAGAACATTATATTTATATTGCATCACCATTGATTGTCTAAGAATGAGTCATATCCATTTTATTGTTTAGCTTGTTCTTTAATAGTTCTACTTTGCTATTTCATCCATGGATCAAACTATCTTTCTGTAATTCATCAATTAATATTGTGAATTTAGTATTTTTAACTTTTAGTTTGTTTTTCTTCAGTTGCAGAGAAAAATCAAAATCGAATTGCGTACTCATTAACTTGTGCGTTAGCTTTCAAAACC